TCGCTAGTAGGGCACTCAAACTAATACATTATTTAACTTATAAACAAAGCCTGTCCTTGGACATAACTTTAGGGTTGTGGGGCAACAGCTAATTAGGCGTTAATGTGGTATTTTTTCTCGATATATATATATATATCCTCACCTCGGATTTGAACTCAAGATCTCTTGCACACCAGGCGAGTGCTCTTCAAGTTGGTCGACGATTCGAATCCCCGTCCTACCAAGCATGCTCGCCCCTTTTAGCCTTGGGGGCGTTATAATGTGACGGTCAATCCCACTATTCGTTGGTATAAGAGTATGCCCAAGAGTTGGCGGTGGGTGGTGATGATTAGCTGCCTTCCCTCTAGTCTTTCACTGCTAAATTAGTAACGGCTAGCGCAGATAGCCCTCGTGTAGTTTTTCGCGAAATTCAAAAACAAACAAACAAACAAACTACCAATTGAGTTTAAGGACTAGCCCCCTAACGATTCCAACAGAAACCTGGTGTAGTTATCTTCCAACGTCCCTTTTATTCTTCATCACTATGTGACATACCTCTCCAACCCAGAAAGGGAGATCAAGTTCGAATCCCGACTTCATATATCATCCCCTGGTTAGCCCTAAGGGTGCAAGTCAGTTTTGTTGACAATCGGTCCAGCGATTCGCCAGTTGTAGGCGGACACAAACAGAAACGTTTGTCAAATAATAGTTTAGACTTTAGATGAACGGACTCGAAAGGGAAAATTAGAAACTGATTCATCTTCACGTCCGGGAAAATGTATGTGTTGGAAAACCTGGCGTCGTTGTTTTCATGTTATTTTATATAAACGCTTTCGTTTATCGTGCCCTGGTCTATCACTTTGAACTTGTGTTGCATAAACTACATGTTTTTTGAGAATTAGAATTCAAAACGTTTAACATAAATAACACAGGCATGCGATGGTTTTATTGTCTTGATATTTTTACACGTTCTACAGTAATTCCTGTACGCTGAATCCGAAAATCACGTACAGATTTTTCACAAAACGTCATAACGCAATACATAAAACACGTAGTTTTGAGACTAAAAGACGTACCCCCCAGTGGCACAGTGGTATGTCTGCGGGCTTACAACACTAGAATCCGGGTTTAGATACCCGTTGAATTAAAATATCATAGGCACATATTGTATAATCAATTATTAGTTATAAAATATTTTTATTACAACATTTCGGCGAAGGCTCAACGGATCCAGCTTCAGTCCGGTTTTGAATACTATATATATATATATATATATATGATAACTATTACTTGATTAGCTGAAGACATTTAAGTTCGTTCCAAAAAATGTCATAAATTACCTCGCGAAGACCTTATTTTTGTTTAGACAACCTCCTCGGTCCCCCTTATCTCTCCAATCTTGTGAACAGACGTGTTTCGTTTTTAGTCTAGTGACGTTTCAGAAGTGTTGGATTTTAACTCCCCGAGTCTTTCTACACGAACAGCGCATCTCTAGATGTATAATCAGCATTATTATCCTCACCGCGTGCAGAAACGTCAGTAGTGAAACACACCAGGAAAAGTTGTTGTTGTTTCGTCTGCGCTCTGTCCGCCGCGGGGAATAGAACCCCGGATTTAAACATTGTAAACTTACCGCAGACACACCGGGGGGGGGGGGGGTAGACGAATTGAAAGAAATGTAGAGTCCTAATAAAACGATATCCATAAATGCCCCCCTTATAAAATTAATTTATTTGCTCAACCAATAGTCCTCTTTTTTGTTTTCTTGTTTTTAGCCCATAAGTTAACTGACCGATGGAAATCCGGATATGTCCTAGTGATTAACATGTCGGTATGCGTATCCAAGTGTCCAAAGTAAGAGTCATGGTATGCCACTGATAATGTTCGACAAGCTTATCTTATTGGAGCTTCATAACTGTGACGGTGAATTGTGCTATTCAGCTGAGAGTAAGTATGCGACTGATTGGTCACTGGGGTCCCTTCCAGTGGTCAGCGGCTGTAAATTAGGGATGTCATGCCTCAATATTTGGGGTTTGACCTGGCGACCTGAGAAGATAAAGGTGAAGTGATTATGTTATTTTTGCGACTCGGATACAGTTTAAATAAGGTCATGGTGAGTAGTAGAATGTCATCTCCACCAATAAAGTCATGGTGAGTAGTAGAATGTCATCTCGGTCAATAAAGTCATGGTGAGTAGTAGAATGTCATCTCGACCAATAAAGTCATGGTTAGTAGTAGAATGTCATCTCGACCAATAAAGTCAAATGACTTTATTGGTCGAGATGACATTCTACTACTCACCAGGTGAGTAGTAGAATGTCATCTCGGCCAATAAGGGAGATGACATTCTACTACTCACCATGAGACCAATAAAGTCATGGTTAGTAGTAGAATGTCATCTCGACCAATAAAGTCATGGTTAGTAGTAGAATGTCATCTCGGCCAATAAGGTCATGGTGAGTAGTAGAATGTCATCTCGGCCAATAAGGTCATGGTGAGTATTAGAATGTCATCTCGACCAATAAAGTCATGGTGAGTAGTAGAATGTCATCTCGGCCAATAATATCATGGTGAGTAGTAGAATGTCATCTCGGCCAATAATATCATGGTGAGTAGTAGAATGTCATCTCGGCCAATAATATCATGGTGAGTAGTAGAATGTCATCTCGGCCAATAATATCATGGTGAGTAGTAGAATGTC